TCTAGAGGTAGAGGAACGGATATTTTTTTTTTTAAAAAAAAAAAGAAAAGAAAAACTCCGGCTGAAACAAAGGATGATTGGATCAACAGCATTAAGCGGGTGGGAAAAAATTACTAAACAATACGATACCAATAAGTCCGTAAAAGGAATAGTAGTACAATAAGCAAGTAGCTGGGGTCGAAAGAGAAGAGGAGAGAGGCTGCGTTGGGAGATTCCAAAATTTTGTTTGGGAAGGACCTTGTGATGTCAACGCCATACAGCGGGGATGTGTTTTGGCTGGGCTGGACATTGCCACCGTCTTGAGTAACGACGAAGGTGTAGCACGTTTTAGCTTCTGACAAGAAGGTACGGTACCGTCCGTACGAGCATAGTGGTGTAATGTACCATTGGCACTTTGCGGTGTAGATGTAGCGGCAGTAGGCTTCGATGGGGACAAAAATACATAAGCAGAAAACCAATATACGGTCGGCTGGGATGAGAAAAACCGGGTAATTACTTGGATATGCATGTTAAACACAGCGTATACTAAAAGGACCGCCCAGAGATAAATATGAGGTAACAGTGCATCGGACAGGTAGGTTGAGGAATGCACTGTTGGAAACGTTGTGTTTGATGCAGGTGGGTGTCTAATTCGGAGGGAGCGATTGGATTTAGGGGATGGTTTCTGGGGAGTGACTCGCGAACAGCATCGAGTGACCACACCCAATGTGAAAAACCGATACCAATCTGCACGGGCGTAGGTGTAAATGCCCCAGACAGACAGATAGATCATGGGTCCGGCGAACAAAAAATTGGGGATTTGTTTCCATTCGTAATATTTGAGAAACCCGTTGTTCCAGTAGTAATGCTGTACAAAACTGTAGAGTAGAGGAATACGTGAGTTGCACCAGGGACGCTGGTTCTGGGGGCCGAGGCAGTACAAAGAGTAACCGTACAGTTGGAATAATATGAACCCCGAAAGAGCAATGGCGCAGAAAAACACCGCTCGGCAAATGTTCCATGAGTACATGAGTAACCACCGCACGCGGGCATAACGCAGAACCGAATCGTCAGCGACGGGATGAAATAGGCGCTGGAGGGGTCGTACTATAAGATCGTAAATGAAGAATCCACTATAGGCAATGGAATTGGATCGGGTGAGAGACCCGAGACAAATGAAATACGCCGTGAGAAGGTAACGTCGCTGTAGGACCAGCCGCATCGAAATAAAGCTAAACAGCGCAAATAAACTTTCGGTATAAATGGCGGACATGAACACGTTGGAAGGCGTAAAGCAATAACACAGTGCACCCAGAAAGGCCAGCCGCTTGTCCCGTAATAGATCAATCCCTAAATGGTACAGGGCCACCGCTGAAGCAACAAACGAGCAATTGGATACCAATACCCCCGCTAGAATAATTGTGATGCGGAATCCCAACAACCCGATCAAAGGGTAGAGTACCGACGACGCTACAAACCGGATAAGCAACGGTAACATGGGAAAGAAGGCGTGTTCTTGTTCAAACACATAGTGTCCCTCTTCCGCCAAGTGAATAAAGTAAATGGCGTCCCATCGTACAAACACCCGCAACCACGGCCGAAGCATACTTTGTAGAACTTGCGACAGGTCATACCCATTGGCATTCGTTCGTTCCAGTGCGATGAATCCTTTATCCGATTCTCTATTGTCTCTCATATTGAGTTTAATTTCGGTTCCTTGTCTTTCTGGCTCCACCGATTCAGGAAACCTTGTCCTTTTCACGGTATCGGTAGGCTTCTCCAACGCATCCAAGTCCCAACGTGGCAATGTCAAGGGCTTAATCGTATGAGTGTCCTCATTGGTTTGACCAAGTGATGAAACAGGTAGACCGGGTAATGTTGGCTGGTAGATGAGATCAAAAGAAGAATCGTAATCGTCCACAAATACATTGGAGAGAAAGGCCAAAATAATCACCAACAATCGTGATAAAAGCGCTATCTTTGCAACTTTCCATGATTGTCGATGGTGATTAGCGAGGTCACGCATGGGAAGGTTAGTTTCGATACATGCGTAGAACAAAAAGAAAGAAATACTCTAATGAGAATAAATCTATAGGGGGTAAGAAATAAATGTACTATAATAATAAATACGCCTATCGTACCGTGTAACACAAGGATTAGTGTAAGTCGTTAAGAAAAATAACAATAAAAATATGGAATATTTTGTAAACATCGCGAATAATAAATGGTGCAAAAAAAAAAAAGAAACAAACGGCGAAAACACAGACGATAAAAAAAGGTAATAATCAGACCTAGTCATCCCAATACGGAGCAAAGATTGACTCTTAATTGTAGAGGGGAAAAGAGCCATGGTGAGTGACTGATTCCTGACATTGCCCACTTAGTCGCCATGAGCACTATAACGTGAGTGTCTCACGTTCATAATTACACTTTTTTAGCGATAAACGAATTAAATCGTGGATACTACAACACGTGCGAAAGAGTAAAATAAGGCTGTTTTACCATGCATTTGGGCGCACTATAAATATGTACAAAGTAAACCTTAAAAACTGCAGACGGTGTGTCTATTGATTTCCATAATCGGACATGCAACGGCTGTACGAATTAGTCTTTGGATTACGCTTTTACCTGTACTAAACCATGCAAAAACCAATTCACTGTGTAAATACTGTTGCCTCTGCCGCTCTCCGTTTCCATTAAGCAGGAAAAAGAGGATAGGGCTTAAGCCCGAGATAAATGTGTCTAATGAGGGCATATTAACAGTATTTTAATTTCTATCGGAATAAATAAGGCATTCACTCAAAATCAAAGACTTGTTCGAATGAGGGGACATTCGCAGTTTGCTGTATAAAGAAACAGAAGTACTATGTTGGGAAATGATTACCCATCAATAAGTAGAAAAGAAGCAGGTATTAAAAATACAAGTCACTGAGTTACACCACCACAAAGGAACGGGGGGGACCAGAGTGACAAAAACATACTGAATAGAAGTCTCATCTACACACAAAACAAGGGAACCCTGCTAGTTTCGTTACAGTATCAAACAAATATTTATCAGCTAGCAGTAATGGATTACTAACAACAACGAGTAAAATAACCACCGTGCCGCTTCCTTTTGTACCGGTTCTCATGCAAAAAATTCAAGACGGGGGTATTACAACTCCCGCATCCGGACTACTTATCCTTGAGGGATGCTGTGTATTCCCGGATTTTCTCCTTGAAAAACTTTTCCAGACGATTGGCGCACTTGTAATATACAGTGTTTTCCGCATTATAGGTCCGACAGTTGTCGAAAATCTTTTGTGTATCTTTGGCAAATTCCCGCATCGTCGGGTACATTTCGGCCTCGACGTTATTTTCCAAAGTGGTTAAGTCCATAGGTTGCGTAATCACGGTGTAGTAGTCGGACACTTCTTCGGCATTGACGGGTTGCAAAAACGACCATGAAGCATTGTGACCTTGTAGGTCCGCCACAATTTTACGCTGGATAGCCATACAGTTATTGGCGGCGGGTTTCCGGAGTTGGGTGTCCATTTCCTTGGTCCAGCCACTTTCTTTGATTCCCCGGATCGCGTATGGGTCAATCACAACGGCTCGTTGGCGAGTCGTCGCGGACGGAGTTTGACCCTCACCGTCCACTTTCTCCTGGAAACAGGTCAACCCCGGGTATACGATGTGGGAAGAAGACATGGCCTTGGTCTTTTGTTGGATGGCCCGACGTTGTAGTTCTAAGGAATTGGCCAAGTGAAGATATCGCAATTGGGGGATCATGGCGCACTGCATGAGGGTTCCCCCTTCGTAATCTTTGATGTAGCCCATCCAAACCGATTTCTCAAGGGTAATCTCTTTGCTAAAACCCTGCTTTTTAAAGTACCCGATAGCGTAATTGTCGGCATACGTCAAAAAGTAACGCGCGTTGGTGAATTCCAACATGTAATCCTTGAGATGGTTCATCAAATGGGAACCGTACCCTTGCACTTGCTCAGAGGAAGAAATGGCGCAAAATACAATCTCGGCAAAACGTCGGTGGTCGAATAATCGAAAGGTGATCCCGCCTACCACATTCTGCCCCTTTTTCACCACGGCCATACTAGTATGATTAAGGTCGTACACCAACCGGGCGATATATTCCTTGGGCATTTTAGGAAGTTGTTTTTGGAAAATGTTTTTTAGCCCCGTCAGTAAAATATTCGATTCCCGCGAGCCGTCATTACGCACCACGTGGAACCGAATGACTCCCGCTCGTTCTTCTAACACGGCGGGTTTCTCGGTTATCACCACTTTGTCTAAAGGGAGTAGTCCATCGTGGACCAGGCCGCGTTCTGGCGATGGTCGTTCCTCGGTGGCCAACGGGTAGCTTACTTCCTGCGTCTGGGTCGACTCGGTGGACTGACGATGATACAAGTCGTAGTCGTGGGTCCCATCTAAAAGCATGGTATCCTCGGGTTCATGTGGGTTGGTACGCGCACGTTTACGTAATGGCACCGAGGCATCCATAGCGTCGACGGCGGACATTATGAGACTTTCTTGAGTGTTTTACCAAAACAATGGTGTGTAAATTGGATTAAAGAGTGAAATTAATGGAATCGAACACAAATGTTCTGCTATTGAGGGATGGAGTGCAGAAAGGTAGGAATCGCACAAGGCTCTTTCTAGAAAGTGACCGACAAAGTGGTTAAAAGTACAGGAATTGTTCAAATTATAAACGCCACCCCTCCATACCCTCAACCCCATAACTTTGAGCGTCCAAAGGAAATTTTTCCCACCCAAGGTTCCGCTAAATTATCGAATTGGTACCACGTGAAACCGGAGGAGGGTACTTCTTTTTTTATTTTTGCAAGAATAATGATTCGTACAAACCAAGAAGAGTCAGGACAAAATGCATTTCGTTACAGATATATTATTTAGCAACCCCAGTTACAATCCTGTTGATGGAAATAAAGATTGTTGACGGAAACGGTAAAAATTTCCATCACAGCAAAAAAAAATTAAGAGGAATCAAATGGAAAAAAAAGATGTAACGATGGCTGCAGGGTTCGAACCTGCGCGGGGAGACCCCATTGGATGTCTCGAATGAAGAAGTCCTTAAAAAAGCCCCTTCGTTATTATTCAAGTCCAACGCCTTAGACCACTCGGCCAAGCCATCCTATCATTTTGTGTGATTGTTGTATTTGCCTTGACCCCCACACTTTTCTTTTGTTTCCTTTTGACTTTTGCTGCGACCAACAGTTGACATCAGGTTTCCCAAGATATGACAACATCTGAAACCTAGAACCCTGACAGATATAATAGTGAACCATTGGCATTCAAGGAACCTTAGTTTTGTTCTTATTCATTTTTGGAATCTATTCTAATGTTATTTGAAATAAACCAGTGAACCAGTACTTGTTTTATAACAGGGTGAGGGTTCATAACATATCCTGAGTATCAATTGGCAAAAAATGAGGGGAGAACTACTTAAGTAATGCTGACCTTAATAATTTGAAGGTGAAACAGAAGCATCACAATCTCAATGATGATTACCTGATGACCCAACAACTACTGCATTGGAATGGAAACTCACAAGTCATATAGTAATATAGGTGGGCACAAGAAACTTTGACCTAATAATAAAGGTTAACAGCAACTCCTGAATCTTGGACAAATTATTTTTGCAAACCCAATAACACTAAAGGGGATAAACCTAATGGTGAAAATAATGACCTTGGCAAAGGAAAATAAGATAGCAGATAGATGGTGGTCCCAGTTTAATATGCACCAATTTATACTAACAAGTGTGTATATGGTGATATCACATTTGCTTCAATTTGCCATGGCAGAACAGTAAAAGTAAAAAAACTGGCACAATTACAAAATGCTCACTGTGGAATTACAATCCATCTCAATTGCTGAGTTCAGCAATAAAATTTTCCACTTCTTGGATTGACGGAATACTATCCATGGCACCATTTTTAGCCACAGACAATGTGGCGGCAGCGGACGCCTTGTGTATACAGGACTTGATTAGTGGTAAAGGCAAGGTTTCCTTAATAGAAGGAGGAATTTGGTCGCCATATTCTTTTTCCCGGGATACCAAATAACCCACGAAATAGCCAGTCCAAGTGTCTCCCGCTCCGCTAGTATCCACGACTGAACAATCGGCGGGCAGTGGGGGTGCTCTGAATAAGAAGCAACCTGATGGTACGCTGAACTTGCGTCCGGATTGCAAACTTGCCTGCACACCTTTGGAGCCCAGCGTCAATATAATAATGCTAATGTCCGGGAAGTAGTGGTGTATACATTCTAGGATAGACTGAGATTCATCAGGGACAGGAGTGTCCCGGTCGTTTAGCATTTTCCACAAAGACTGACCTTCGGTCTCGTTCAATACCAAAATATCCACTTGGTTAAGGTCCACTTGAGAGGTCAAACACGGGGACATGGGCGCCGGGTTAAATACAACTGTAAGGTCCGCCATCCGACCAGCCGCTAATAAATCCCGTAAACCCGACACCTCATTCTGCAACAATAGCATGTCATTTGCACCGAAGTTGCGTAGCGTAGAGTAAATCACCTCGGTGGTTATTTCCTGATTAGCGCCCGGGAATAATACAATGCCGTTCTCCCCTTTCTTCTGGTCAACTTGAATAATGGCCCTACCCGTAACCACTGCGTCAGTTGTCACGTATTGGGTGTTCACACCATTCTCATCTAATTTCGATTTCAGCCAAAGCCCGTCTGGCCCCACCCTACCGGCCATGTAGACCCGCTGGCACACTCGAGCAGCTGCAACTGCTTGGTTAGCGCCCTTGCCACCAGCGTGAACATTATAGGCAGTCGACGCCAAGGTTTCCCCTGGTCGGACAAGGTGGGGAACCGTGTACACTTCGTCAATGTTGAGTGACCCGAAACATAAAATACGAGAACAGGACGACATTGTGGCAGTGAACTTGAAGTAGGAAAGAGAAATACCATAGGTTTAGCAAAAGAGTGAGTATTAAATTGTAGACTCCTGCAGGGGCTGGTTATGCGCACCAGATGCAGAAAGAACAGAGCAAAGAAGAAAAAATAACATTTCGTCAATTTCTTACAAATTACAAATATTTAATCGAGAGAAAAGTTTCCGACAATCCGACATGGTCCAATGGCTAGGATTTCGCGCTTTCACCGCGACGGTCGGGGTTCGATTCCCCGTGTCGGAGATTTCCTCTTTTTTTGGTTTTGTTGTGGTGTCGTAGGTTAGTCGAGGGCAGAATTTTTATTGGCCGTTTCTCTCATGGCTGACTTCTTGGTTTCGTGGAGACCCATTTTTCCAACTAATAAAAATCACTTTTAAAACTATAACTGTAACTCAACAATTCAAAACTAAATAAA